TAGAGCCCAGGAAGGACAGAGAGCCCAGGAAGGACAGGGCCCAGGAAGGACAGAGCCCAGGAAGGACAGAGCCCAGGAGGGACAGAGCCCAGGAAGGACAGGGCCCAGGAGGGACAGAGAGCCCAGGAAGGACAGGGCCCAGGAAGGACAGAGCTCATGAAGGACAGAGCCCAGGAAGGACAGGGCCCAGGAGGGACAGAGCCCAGGAAGGACAGGGCCCAGGAAGGACAGAGCCCAGGAAGGACAGGGCCCAGGAAGGACAGGGCCCAGGAAGGACCGAGCCCAGGAAGGACAGTGCCAGGAAGGACAGAGCCCAGGAGGGACAGAGCTCATGAAGGACAGAGCCCAGGAGGGACAGAGCCCAGGAAGGACAGAGAGCCCAGGAAGGACAGAGCCCAGGAGGGACAGAGCCCAGGAGGGACAGAGCCCAGGAGGGACAGAGCCCAGGAGGGACAGAGCCCGGCATGCACAAGAGCCGTGAGAGCACCAACGGGCTGGGCAGGAGGGAGCCCTGCCGTGGCGGCCTTACTGACCCACGGGGGCAGGGAGGGGGCCTGGCGGGGATGCAGCGGGCTCTGCAGCAGAGGTTCACCAGTGTGTGCACACAGTATGTCTCAGGGCAGGGAGGACCAGTGGGAAGTCAAACTCACGGTAGTCTTCAGACTCGTCCAGGATCTCGGACTTGATGATCTCCTCGATGACGTCCTCCAGGGTGACCAGGCCCAGCACCTCATAGAAGGGGTCGCCCTCGCCCTCGTTGTTCACCTTCTGCACGATGGCCAGGTGGGACTTCCCTGTGGAGAGGGGACACTCATTTACAGCTAGCAGGGGGCACCCCATTTTTCTCAGTTTCTCCTGGTATGCGCCCACTGCAAGGACAGAAGCCAATGTTTGTACTGGACACTGGGCCACACACCCTAAGTTTTGTGTTTTGTTTTTGATATTAAGGATTGAACCCAGAGGTCCTTTCCCACTGAGCTACATCCCCAGCCCCCCCCCTTTTTTTTGGTACTGGGGATTGAACTCAGAAGCACTCAACCACATCCCCAGCCCTATTTTGTATTTTATTTAGAGAGAGGGGCTCATGGAGTTGCTTAGCACCGCCTTTGAACTTGCGATCCTTCTACCTCAGCCTCTAGAGCCACTGGGATTACAGGCATGCGCCTCACGCTCAACTCCCCGAGCCCTTTTTATTTTTTACTTTGTGGCAGGCCTCACTAAGTTGCCCAGACTGGTCTTGAACTTGTGATCCTCCTGCCTCACCCTCCCAAATAGCTGAGAACAGGCACACATGGAGGCTTCCCAAGTTCTCAACAAGCTGAGCAAAATCTCAGAGGCGTGTTCATTGGCCGGAGGTCCCCACACAGACAACAGCAGAGCTGGGATTGGCCCCAGGTCTGTGACTCCGAGCCATGCGGAGGTCTAGCCAAGTGCATCCTGTCTAGAACACAGGGGTCTTACACAGCAACTGCAGGTGTCTACAAACAGGACACCAAGATAGGCTGGCTGCCCTGGACGGTCTCAGTAGGGGAGCCCACGAGTCCATCCTGCCTGACTCTGGGAAGGCCTCCTAATTCTTAAGGCTGTCCTCTGGGGTCAATAGTGGGAGGTGGCCCTTCAGAACCCAACCTGTGCACAGAGGACAGCAGGTGGCCAGGACTGGTCCACCTTGCTCCTATGTCTTTCCCATGTCATTTTCCTACTTGGTTTGCTTAGTGAGAAGGGGCAGATTGTAAACAACCCATGTCTCAGGATGTCGGGGAACACTGGGGGACTTCTGGAATTGACTCTGCAGTAGGTAAGTGCTTTTCAGCCATAAAACTTGATACCTATCCGAGAGAAACAGAAGGCAAGTCACGTGGGTAATTTAAGATCTTTTGAGTGGGCACATTAAAAACATCTAAACTCAAAACATAAAAAGGGCTGGAGATGTAGCTCAGGGGGCAGCATCCTCAGGTGCAAACCCCAATGCTGCAAAGAAAAAGAAAAAAAAATAGGCAGAATTAAGTTTAATAACATTTTAAGTAATCCAATATAGCCAAGATATTTCAATATATAACCCCCCCCCCACCCCCACACACAAACAAAATAGCAATAGATAGCCTCCCCTGATTGCACAGAGTCCCAGAACCTGGTTGTGCTTGATGCTTACAGCACACCCCAAGTCAGTCTAGTGCCCTTCCCAGCACTGCACAGCCACAGGTGGGAGGGGAGTGGCCGCTGGACCCGCAGGCCCACAGCTGGGGACACGCCCTCTTCTGTTACAAGTAAGACGGGGGAAGTTGGTGTGGGCACAGACCTGCACACCTGGGGGAGTTTGCTTCAAGAATCCTTCAGGCAAGCAGAAAAATCTTTGTGTGACTCACACTCCACACACCAAGGGCTTAATGAAATAAAGCATCCTCCTTCAGGGTGCTCTAGTACCCCTGACCAAAAAGCCAAGACAGAAATGACCACATTAGGTCATCTTCCCCTTTCCAGGAGGAAAAGGCACAGGGTCCCTGGAGATCTCTGCCCAGTCCTGCTAAGCCTGAGGCATTGAGTCAGGGGACAGGTATTTCTACATTCTTCTGACACTCTGTGACTGTGCTGGGAAGGGCTCAGGCTGGCGCACAGGCACCATTTCTGCAAGGGCCACGGCTGCTGCGCCACAGAAGGCAAAGCTGCAGACCCACTGGGGACACCAGGCACATGACAGGCAGGTTTGATCAACACCTTTGAATTCCTGAAACCAAAGCCCAGGGGTCTGAAGGCCACCTTTGAGCAGAGAGGCCTGAGCCCACTCCTCCTTTCAGGAAGCTGAACCCTCTGCAGGGCGCCTACAGGAAGGGACTCACTTCTCCCAGGCTGTCAAAGATGTGCAGAGTAGGGACATGCCTCCCCACGACCGCCACACTGGGATGACTCCATAAGGAATGGAGGAAAGCAGGGCTCCTGGAAGATCCCCCATGTGACTTGGACTCTCAAGAGAGGATGCTCGAGGGCCAACAGGCAGCCCTGGGAAAGCAGTAGGGGACTGAGAAAAGGCAGCTGGCCGATTAAAGTTCATGGCCATCTGATAGGACCCAAGCACTCACAGGGATACCTGCAGGCTCTCAGGGCCAGCTCTGCGGAGTCCACAAGGGTGTGAATGGCATGACCTACCGCCATGGGAGAACTCTAGTTTTAATTTGAGTTCACAGGCTCCGGAGTACTCCATTTATTTGGATGCTGGAAGACCTTTGCATGATGCCCAACTTCTAGGACACCTTTAAAAATGCAGTTAGAGTTTAATCTCTCCATCTTTCCTTTGTCCCCAACTCCCTTTTATTTTGCAGAGCTGGGGATACGGGGTGGGGTTTGCACATGCTAGGCAAGTGCTTTATCACTGAGCTATGCTCCTAGCTCTTTTGATTTCATTTTGAGACAGGGTCTCACTCACCTACCCAGGCTGGCCTCCAACATGCAATCCTCCTGCCTTGGCCTCCCTAGACTTTGTAATTATAGGCATCCTGGCTCCCTTTGTTGTTCTGTAGAAAAACTAAGTGTACCAATGCTATGAGAAAAGTCACAGGCTAACACTCCTCCCAGATGTCTGAGCAGGTCTGACTCTTCTCAGCATTGTGGCAAAACATGACAGTAAATCAAAACTGGCTGTCTGACAGCAGCGTCTCTGAAAAGTTCATTGCCCTAATCTTCTCCTCACTTACTTCATGAGTCTCATCACGGGCTGAGCAAAGGCAGCAGGGGTTAATGGCCATAGAGAAGATGCAAGTCACCTACTACAGCCCCAAAGCACTCACACTGCCTGGGGATAATTGCTGTCACCTCAAGTCCGCACAGAGGGGTGCTTCCCCCCAGCTTACAAAGTTCCCAAGCAGATGGTGCTCTGAAGGAGTGACAGGAGCAGAATGTACTGGCCAAGAGGAAGATCAGTGGGCAAAGAGATGGGGAAAGGATCGACTGTAAAACCTCAAATGCCAGGAAGACTGCAATGTGCCCTTTGCTCATAAGCAGAGGATGCATAGAAGGACGAGGACAGAGAGGACTTTAACAAGGAGAAACACGTGACACCAAAAGCCGCAGAAAAACAAGGCAAGGCAGCTCCAGGGCCGCACCAGAAAGACAGGGCCATTCTGCCCCAAGAATGGCCCTCACCCACCAGGAACCAGGAAGCCAAGGAGGACCAAAGTGACCCCACTGCAGGTCCCACCCTGTCCTTCCTCCCCATCACTGGCTTCTAGAAGGAGGCTTTCCAGCATGTTGTCAGATGGCTCTGGAACAGTCTGACTGAACCAAGAAGGGATCAATCCCCAGCCCTCCGGGACCAGGCAGTCTGACAACCTGCTCTGACTGCCCGTCCTGGACAGGAGCACCTGTACTGTGACAGCAAGTCCATTGGAACCTGCTCCACTTGCCCCACCTTAAAAACTAAGAGCAGGGAACCAACCTAGATGCCCTTCAATAGATGACTGGATTAAAAAAAATGTGGCTTATATACACAATGGAATATTACTCAGCAATAAAAGAGGATAAAATCATGGCATTTGCAGGTAAATGGATGGAGTTAGAGAACATAATGCTAAGACAAGTTAGCCAAACCCAAAAAACCAAATGCTGAATGTTTTCTTTGATATAAGGAGTCTGAAGTGGGATAGGGAGGGGGAGCATGGGAGGAATAGAGGAACTCTAGATAGGGCAGAGGGGTGGGAGGGGTGGGAGGGGAAGGAAGGGGCATGGGGTAATTAATGATGGTTGAATGTGATGATCATTATTATCCAAAGTACATGTATAAAGACTCAAATTGATGTGAATATACTATGTATACAACCAGAGATGCGAAAAATTATGCTCTACATTTGTAATAAGAGTTGTAATGCATTCCACTGTTATATATAAATTAAAAAAAAAGAAACTTGAGAAAATTATAACTTTAATGGGCAAATTTTTTTTAAAAAATCTCATTTGTAATTTCAAAAGCTCATATAATATATAGTCTCTTGATAGCCATGGTAATTCAGTAATAAAAAGCATAATCCTAAAGTTGCAAAAACAAAAACAAAAAAAAAAACTAAGAGCAGAAGCTCCCTCCCAGTCAGTCACGACGCTGGCTCCCCTTGGTCCATGCTGGTGGGGGCCTGTGTACAATACGAGTCGCATCCCACTTGTTCTCCCAATTGCCACCTGCCAAGGTACTTCATCCATCCCAGGTGCCTCTCCTGACCACTCTCCTTCCCTTGGAAAGTGTCCCTTCCCTTAGCTTCCAGGACATTCCAAACTCCTCTCTGCTTGAGGCCCTAGGGATCAAGCCCTGGTTCCACACACAACACCTCTCCCAACCCGTCTTGCCTCCATGGCATCTTGATTCTTCCCATCTAGGGTGCTGATGGCTCTGGGCCAAGCTTATCTGCCATATTTGAAAGGCAAGACCACGGCAATGAAAATCGTGACCCCAAGGCTTTGGGAAACGAAGGTCTTCACCAACCTTACCCTAAACATTATGTCTCGCTCCTGAAGCTCTTCCCTTTAGTTCCAGAGAGGGCACGCCTTCCCCCACCATCTCCCAAGCAGAGAAATCACAAATCCGGCTGTAGCCAGATACCAGAGCTGAAGGAACCGAACATGAGAGCTTACAATACCAAAGGGACAACTATGGTCTCTACCCTGGACCTTTCTGGAAGTGGAACCTGTACTTCCGGGTTCACCCCCTCTGCTAAATCCTCTCCCTGAGTAGCAAACACTATCTACCCGTAACCCACCCAGGACCTACCACTGCTCTGCTACCAAGCTCACGAGCAGCATGCAGGACATGTCATCCCCAGTCCCTTTATGCTCGTCACTGACAGCTGAGGACCTTGAGCAAGAGAGGCTGGGTGCAGGAGCTCAAAGCAGTTGGGGGCAGGATAGAACCCACCCGGCCCACTTCAGGGCCACCCACTGTCACTCCCCTCCAGAGCTGCCTTGCTGGGCACTACCATGATTCAGGGCTTTGCAGGCCCGGACAGTATGCTCACCACCAGGAGGATCCAGCTGGGTCTGCCCGGGGTTCCTTCCAGAGACAGGTGGGCAGCACGGCTTTCTAAGGAAATGGCCAGGAATACTGCCATGCTCTTAACAGACCATCCAAACCTCTCACCCAACCCCGAGCTACATGCAGGCCTGGTGCAAGGATCAAAGGACATGAGGGCCAGGCACAGTGGTGCACGCCTATGATCCCAGCGGCTTGGGAGGCTGAGGCAGGAGGATCACAAGTTCAAAGTCAGCAGCCTCAGCAATTAACCAAGGGCCTAAACAATTTAGTGAGACCCTGTATCTAGGTGAAATATAAAAAAGGGCTGGGGATGTGGCTCAGTGGTTAAGTGCCCCTGGTACCAAAAGAAAAAGCAAAAAGAAAGGAGATAAGGCATGGAGAGGCCATATCGGAGCCTGGCTCCACAAGGGAGTTATTATGAGAAAGGCATCTTCCTGCCCTGACTGTCCAGGAGCTGACCAAGCAGCTCCCACACAGACCTGGGGCCAGGAGACTTCCCAGCTGCCAGAAATAGCAGGGGGTTTACTCACTTCACCTCCCATCAGGCAGACTTTAGGGTCAAGTCCATCCAGAGCCCTGGGCTGCCCCTCCCCTTATCCTGCAGGAGTTCAGGTGTGGGAAGCATGGCTGGTGGCCAAGGAGCCTGTCAGACTCTGGGCAGCACTCTGAGGATGGTGGAGGGGACTATAAGGGAGCCCTTGCCTTCTCACCTGAAGGGCCCCACGATCTCCACCTCCAACCTTGTGAGCCGCAAATCAGATGAAAGGAGGGGGTGAAGATGTGGGGTTAAGGGAGAACTTGAGAAACATACTTAGGGTGAGAAAAGGGGAGGGGGGTTAACAGGGAAAACAAAACAAAGGAAGACAAGGGAAAGGGAGATTAAATCAGCACCCATAAAGTTGTTTTGGTGAGATCAAAGTGAAAGTTTTCTCCACACCTTCAAGAAAGTATTTATGAGTCACTCCCTGTCTGCAACCAGGAAGGCAGCAACAGGGACCTCAGCAAGGCCCAAGGAATATCATGGTCTATCTAATTTGATATTAAACCTGTGCAGATACTAGCACCCGGATACCTACTTTTGTAAGTCCTTTCAGTTTCTATCCAAGAGTTTGGGTCACACAAAGCCCAAAGTGTACGGAAGTGGCCTCAGGGTGTTAGAAGTAAATGGGAAGTTTCACCAAAGGGGGTGCCAAGGTGTTGGATTTCTAGGACACTTCATCCACCTCTAAATTTTTCAAAACGTCACTGCCAGATTCAAGGCCATCACCTTCTGGAAAATGTGGAAAAGGGGAGGTCTCATATCCCCCACCCCTTTTCCAGGACAGGACACGCATGTGCATCTCCTCCTGGATTCCCGGGCCTTTACCTCGCTTGAACTCCTCCAGGACTGCGTCTAGCTTGGTGTCATTGAAGACGAAGTGGAGTGGGTGGTTGTAGAAGCGGGTAATGGTACTGAGCGGCGTGCAGTCCTCGGGGTCCACGAAGGCCAAGTCCTTGAGGTAGAGCATGTCCACGATGTTGGAGCGCTCTTCCTCGTACACCGGAATGCGCGTGTGGCCGCTCTGCATGATGCTGGCCAAGACGCTGAAGTCCAGAACGGCACTGGCATCCAGCATGAAGCAGTCTTCGAGCGGCGTGAGCACGTCCTCCACTGTCCGGTAGCGCAGCACTCCCTTGCTGAGGTCGCTGTAGGGGTCGCCGCCTCCGCGCGCTAGCTCCAGCACGCGCTCACGCAGCCGTCCGGGCCGCGCAGCCAGCTCCAGCAGCTGCCCCACTGGCAGCGCCACGGGCAGGGTGAGCAGCACTGCCAGGCGACTGAGGCTCAGAGCGCGCGGTGCCAGCGCCAGCGCCCAGCGCCCGCTCACAGCGGCCGGAATCACTTCGCCTACCAGAAAAACCAGCCCTGCGCAGCCCAGCACCGCGGGCACCGCTCGCTGGCCGGCCGCTCGGTACAGCAGCACCGCCAGCGCCGCCTGCGCCAGGCTAGCCAGCAGCAGCAGCGCGCCCAGGGCGCAGCCCGCCCAGCGCCGCGCGGGTTCCAGGCGCCGAGCCGCCGCACGCTCCGCCTCCGAGCCGCTCTCGCGCAGCACCTGCACCTCGGCGGGCGCTAGCGCCAGCGCACTCAGCTGCAGGCCCCGCGCCAGCGCCGCCAGCGCCAGCAGCCCGGCCGCCCCCAGGCCCAGCGCCCAGGGCGGCGCCGCCTCCTCGGCTGCCCCGCCACCCGGCTCCACGCGCACTGCAAGCAGCGCCGAGTTTGGGGGCACGGCCTGGGCGCGCAGGCATAACAGCGCGCGCCACTGGCCCGCGGGAGCCGCCGTCTCCTCGGGCGCCGTGGCTGGTCCACCCTCGGGGCAGCCTGCCCCCTCGGGGGCCACCCAGGTCCAGGAGCTGTTGGCGAAGCCCGAACCCAGGAGGCGCAGGCGGAAGGTGGCCTCCGGCGCTGCCCGCACAGCCCCTCCGTGCACCCACCCGGGGCCCGCCTCTCCGTCCTCCTCCAGGCAGAAGCCCAGCACTCGCGGGCCCGGCGCCGTCTCCCCAGCGGCGTTGCCCAGGCAGAGCGCGGCGAGTACCCAACCTAGCCGACCCGCAGCCGCCGCCATCGCCTGCAGCCCCCTCTTGGCCTCTCGCGCAGCCTACCCCGCTCGCCCCGCGCCCCCGCCTCCCCGGCCAATCGTAGCCGGCCTTCGCGCCGCCTCAGCCAATGGGCGGCGAGCGAGGGCGGGCCCCGGGGTCGGACTAGGCTGCGCCGGGGAGTAAACAAGCCGCGCGGGGCGGGCCGGGGGCGTGGGGTGCTCCGGGGGCGTGGGGTGCTCGGCCCTGCCGCTAGCCGCTGCACCGAGGGCTAGCGGCCGCCAGCGCCGGAGGACGCGGGGTATTGGGCAGAGCTCCGGACTCCAGCGCCCGAAGGCCCGACAGCGCTCTGGGAAGCTCCCAGGGCCTCACACGAACCACGGGCCCTGACGCTCTTGAAGTTGCACACGGAGATTCAAGTGCATGGAAAGTGGGATGTTTTCTTAATAAAAGGCCCAGAAACCCTTCAGGGCCAAGGGAGCTGAATAAGAACCAGAGCCTGGCGTCGGGAAGCTAAGGTTTCTTGAAAATGTTTATGGATCGCGCGGGGCTGTGGCTTCAGGTCTCGGAACATCAAGGCACAGCCACTTCCTTCAGGGAACTCGGTCCCACCAGGGAAACACAAAGTCACAACCTCATTGGAGCCTGACACATCCGCTGCATGTAATTAATGTCTTACAAGAGAAAAGTGAAGCGAGACAGCGTGCGTGCCGGGTTCCAAGGCGACCTGCCCAACACCCCGGTCACCATCCCAGCCACAGGAGGCGGAAGCTGCCGGCAATTTAAGGATCTGCTGACTCCATTCCCACAATTCATCCTTGGGAGATTCCCCAAGGCCAACAAGAGCTACTCAAGAGGGTGCCTGCTGCTGGTATATTAGAAGACAGTATGGTGGACAGTGTGGCTCGTTTTAAATGATCTGTATGTGACCAGAAGGAAACAGACCAACTGCTAACAAGTCTTCTCTATAAGCACCCAGATTAAGTGGTTTTTGTATTTTTGTCTAATTTTTATGTTCTTCAGGCTTTCTAGCACAAGTAGACAGTTGATAAAGCTCAAACATGTCATTTTAAATGGTCTTTAAAGGAGTCTATAGAAACAATTTGCTGTCTCCTGAGAATATCATTCTAAAAAGTATATGTATTATGGCCATAAGTGAACCATGTTGTGTGCAAAACCAGGTAAGCCCACAGTGAATGACGAACTGGAAAATATCTGTGAAAAACTCTTTGTCTCTTCTACATTGTAAACTCAGAAGAGCAACTGGGCCAACTGCTTCTCTGTTCTCCATTTTTATTATCCAGATGGTGCTGTGTCCTTCCACTGGCTGCTTCGTTCTTGAAGAAGATTACGGAGCAAGCCACTAGCAGAAGCAATAATGACATTAGTGCACCTTTCCACTGGATTGTCATGTCTCTTTTGAGGAAGAAAAAGTACAAGCTTTATGCTGGATTCATCCCCCTCACTTCTGTCTTCAAGTCAAGATAAAATGCTGACAATGAGCTAGAACAGATGATGTACTCGAAATGGCTGAGAAGTCATTAACTAGCAAAAACCAGTTCAAAGGACAGGAAGAAATAACTTGTTATGGATTGAGAGATAGGAGACAGGACTTTCACTTTCCACAAGTAACTTTCTTCCCTGGCCTCAGGCTCTCTTGAAAAAACAACCTATAACTAATTCTTGGGGAAGGGGGGGTGCCTTTGGGTGGAAGAACAATTTGCTCAAACTTGGAAAACACAAATGGTCATTTAAACTGTCAATATCCAAAGATTCAAAGAACCCAGGATGGGGCAAAAAAGCAGCTCAGAGGGGCTTCTTCCTTTTTCAATGCCATTTGCCCAAACTCTAGTCAGTTACAGCTCTATTGGAGACACTGTACCTCCTTGGCCTTCCCGGGGCCATTTTTCTTCCTGGTCATTTGGATCAAGACATTTCCACTTTGTTTAATAAATTTGTAGCTATTGGATGTGACCACGGGCTAACTCCTGTTCATCTCTCAAGTCTTGGCTCCAATGCCCCTTCCTCCAAGAGCTCCATCTTGATAAGTCAGGTCGAGGTCATGGGAGCTATGTGCTCCCCTCACAGAATCCAGTACTTGGCTTAATTCTCATTCATTCACCTGACAAGTGTTTCCGGCACTGATGTGTGCAGTGCACTGGGGATGGTTCCAGTGCTGGAGTGTTGTGGGAATGAGATCAAGTCCCTGCCTTCCTGGGCTGAGAGTACTGGGACAACAGAAAAGAAATACCTGTATTTTATTATTAATAAGTGCTATGGAGAAAAGACAAGACAAGGAGACAGAGGGGTCGAGGGTGATGCTGATTGAAATGGAACAATCAGGGAAGGCTTCTCTAAGAAGGTAATATTTGAACCAGGAATAAATAATATGAGTGAGCCTCACAAAGACTTGGGAGAGGGGCTGGAGGAGTAGCTCAGTGCTAGTGCACATGCTCAGCATATGTAAGGCCTTGGGTTCTACACCCAGCACCAAAAAAAAAGTTCTTGGGAGACGTGTCCTAGGAGGAGATAGGCCCTCTTCCTCACTCAACTCCCTGAGGGGTTGGTTGGTAGCAGCTGGCATGCAGCAGAAGCTAGCACATGAGAACGGGGCGGGGCGAGGTAGGGGGACGACCAATGTCATTCCCTCTTGCCCAACCACACACTCACTGTGTGTGTTACTCCTTTTATCTAGAGTATCCACTTCCCTTTGCTGCTACCCAAGTGCCTGCCTGCCTTCAGATACCTCCGGAATTGGTGTGCTGTCAAGCCATGCCTGCTCCAGCCCCTGGCCTTGGACTCTTGTGTGCCACAAGATTCCACAGTTGATGTCGGGCACGGTGGCACATGCCACTAATTCTAGCGGCTCAGGAGGCTGAGGCAAGAGGATAGCAAGTTCAAAACCAGCCTCAGTGACTCGGGGAGACTCTGTCTGTAAGTAAAAATATAAAAAAAGGCTGGGGATGTGGCCCAGTGGTTAAGCACCCTTGGGTTCAATCCTAATCCCTGGTACCAAAAAAAAAAAAAAAAAAGATTCCACAGCTGCCATTCAGGGAGTGGCCCTTCAGGGGACCCCAGCTCTCCAACTCTGAAACCATGTGAGCCCACCAGGGTGGACAGACAGCAACTGTGTTATGAAATCATACAGTCACATTCTTGGATCAGGCTTGGTAATCTCTCAGCCCCCAGAAAGGGAAGGACAGCACACCCACTCCAACACGCCCTCCAGGACTTGCAGGCAGGAGCCACAGGGCTTCCAGCTTGTAGGACTGTGCTGGTGGCAGCTGAGCACATTTGCTCTGAACGTCTGCTAGCAGCTGCCACTCTCCAGCACGTGTGACAGCAGCCCTGATTCTGTGGGTCGTGAGTACAATTCTGCTGCATTTCACTGCTGCACAGCCCCAGAGCACTTTATGTTCCATGCCTTGTCACAGTGGCAGTCAGCCACAGTCACTTCCCTCTCTGTCACAGATACTGAACATAGAACTCAAATGCAAGCCACAGACTCACCAAGACTTACATATATTTCATTTTTTATTACCAATCAAAAATAAATTCCGTATATTGTTTAGCAAATATTATCATTGTTTTGTGACAAAAGACACAAGAGTCATAACAACAAAACTCCCCGAGAGTCAAACTCATAACAATGCCAAAATAAATCACAAAAATATACAAATTAAAATCTTACGCAAAATAAATAGGAGTCATCTGCTACGGTGGCTGTGACTTGCCTACCCATTTGGATGCCATTTGCCAAGGTCTCCCTGGCCCAGGAAGACAAGCGGAGCAGGCCAGGTCCAGGGTATGGCTCAGCCCAGGAACCAGAGGTTGGAATAGGAAGTGAGAAATTGCACTGGGAGGAGGAAGTCATTGGACTGGTGATATCTGGGAATAATTATGACCCTCTTCAGGAAGTGATTATCAATGGGAAAGGGAGAGGAGGAGGGGGACCACCTGTTGGTAGTGACTGTGTGTGCAAGAGGTAGCTGTGGAAGTGAGTGCACCTGCTCCTTCTGCTCTACACACACCCACGAGGTTAGGGCCAACGTGCTTTGCTCTGCCGGCACCCTGGCCTCTCAGGAACACAACTCTGCCAGCTCCTGTGGGGACTCAGAAGCAAGCTGCTCTCTTTTCCCTTATGGTCGAGAGCCCACAGGCATCGACAGCTCCCCAGGCTTCTAGGAGTTAATTCTGTGCCTGGGGAGGCCTTAGACTGGCCAGGGCAGGACACTCCCTAGTGCCAGGAGTTAGGATTCTCTAGGTGCCTGGAGAGCAGAGCACTGGGTGACAGGACTGCCCTGGCTGAGGAAAGGCACGAACACATGCCACGCAGGCGGAAGGTGGGCAGCTTCCCTCACCTGGATCTGGTGCCCCAGCTCCTGTGCTTCCTGACAGAAGGCAGCCCTTGGTCCCACAGCCTCCCCCATGGTGGGAGCCAGGAGCTCTGGAGCAGGCCCTGGGGTAGGACTTCCTGCAGGTGTGGGAGGCTCTCACGCAGTACCAGCGTCAGCGCGGGCCAGTCCGAGCCCTCACACCAGGGTCATGTGGATGAGAGGAAACGAGGCTACTCCTCTGCTCTCCCACAGACCTCTCCCTTGTGAACCCCACTGATGGGATCCCATAAGGGGGTGAAGAAGGTTAGGTGACCTCGGCCAGCCACAGGAAAGGGCATGAAGAACCGTCCTGGTGGCTTCAACATGCCCTCTTGTCCACAGCCCCCCAGAGGGACTAGGGCTTGGAGAGGAGGAGGAATCTAGAAGGGTGGCTTCCTGGGCCAGGTAGGCCCTGGCTCCTCTTGTAGGGTGGGGATGGGTGGGTGGTCATGGCTGCTACAGCACAGAAGCCTAGGGCCAGATTCACCCCTGGATCCAGAAGGGGTACCTGACAAGTAATCTCTGGCATAGATGCCCTGCCCACCAAGGGGGGCCTTTGGCAAGGCAGAGACAAGCCTGGGGAGCAGGGAGCAGCCTGACGCCTATGGCCCGCCTGACACTGCTCACTCCGTACCAGGTGGGAGTTCTTCGAAAGGGGAGATGGGGGGCCGGAGGAGAATCCTCAGCGAGCCCTGACTCACCGGGAGAGCCCATCCACGGAGTTCTGATAGGTTCCTGGGTCCAGCGGTGACAGAAGATGTGCTCTTCTCCGTGGCCAGGGCTATTGTGCCCCTGGTCACAGTTACCCAGACACAGTCGGCCCTGGGTGTGCACATGTTCAAGCAGCTGACCTCAGGCCTGGGTTCCTTGCTTCTGGAAGAAGCCAACTCCTTCTACAGGCACTGGTCCCCGCTCTGCAGGAAAGGGTGGGCTCGCCGAGGCAGGGACATAGGCTGGAAGGTCATGGCTGGGAGCAGATTATGGCTATTGCTTCCAGGGTGGGGATCCCTCCCCCTTTTAAAGTTTTGGTTTTTTTGTTTTTTGTTTTTTTGTTTTGAAAAAACATTTTTTTTTTTTAACATAAAGTTCTTTAACCCTGTCTTCCCTTCCCAAAATGATATTTTAAAAGAGGAGCAATGAGCCTAGTTTAGAAGTCCTCAGTAAGAAACAGCCTTTGCTCAGGTGGCTGATCCACCGCCCACCAGTCCAGGGCTGGCAGCGCCACCGCAGCCTGTTTAGAGGTCCCTGTCAGCAGCACCCTGGCTGCTCAGTCACACAGGCAATCCGCACCCCTGTGGCCTAACAGGCCCCCTCTCTCGGTGTGGCCCACTGGGGAGGCCCTGCGGGGCGGGCAGGGCCCCGGGCCCTGCTGTCAGATGGCGCTGTCCGGGGAGGCTCTGTGCAGCAAGGAGTTGCGCTCGTTGAGCAGCGTCGTGGTCTCATCCACCACGGGCAGCTCGGGCTTCTCGGTGAAGTTCTCCGTGCAGGTGGTGCACCCGTCCAGCGGAAACTGTGGGCCGTTCTCCATGCGGGAGGCCATCAGCCCGTTCTGGTACTGCTGCCGTGTGATCTGTGGGCAGGAGGCGAGTGCGGTGGGCAAGGGCTGGGGCCCAGGCAGAAGAGAGGGCGCGGCCAGGCCGGCCTACGGGGCTCCCAGCAGGCACAGGGCAAGGTGAGGAGGAAGATGTTGGGTTTGGCGGGTGAGGAAAGAGGCCGCTGGTCCTGAGCAGGGACGAGGGCTGCAGCAGGGGCACTCACCTTAATGTACTGCAGGTCCATGAGTGCCCGGACACTGAAGTCCGAGATGTACTGGCCCAGGATGGAGCTGCCAAACTGGTTGCTGCCAGCCGCCAGGGTGGACGTGGTGGACGCATCTGTGCTGCGGTCCGGGTAACTGAGGGAAGCTGAGCGGCTGAGGGGCATGGGGTGCGATGGGGAGCGGTCTGTGGGGACAGCAGAGGCTGGCAGGTTAGGCTATGCCCTGAGCTCAGCCCAGGGGAGACAGGGACATGGTCCCTCTCCAAGAACAAGACAGTTCTTTTTTTCTTCCCTAGTTGTTGATGTTATTTTTTTTTCATTTGTGTATTTATATACAGTTGCAGTGCTGAGGATAGAACCCAGTGCCTCACACATGCTAGGAAAGCGCTCTGCCCCTCAGCCCCAGCCCCAGCCCAGCAGGACAGTTCTTAGGGACAAACAAAAGCACACAGAAGCTCCAGCTGCATCAGCCTCATGGCTAACCAAGCTAGTGTTCAGAAGAGCGGCAGGCAGTAAGTGTTAAACAGTCCATCCAAGCAAACTGGTCAACAGGAAATGTGCGGCTGCAGAACCCCTTGGTGAACCCCCCAAATTCATCAGTCCCAGGCAACACATAGTGATCACCCTCCCGTGACAGACAAGCAGCAACCTTTGTCTCAATACCAGCTTATGTCAAGTGACTTAAACTAGATACTTTTAAACAAAAAGAACATTTAGGGCTGGGGTGGTGGCTCAGTGGTAGAGCGCTCGCCCAGCACCTGTGAGGCACTGAGTTTGATCCTCAGCACCACATTAAAAACAAACAACAACAACAAAAAACAAAGAACATTTCTTAAGAAGAAGAGCATACAGTCCTCACTCTCTCAGTGGGAACCCCGCCCCATGATGCCTGTCACTGCTACAGAGTTGGAGGTGTGCTCAGCTCAGGACGGGGTCAGTCCACTGTCTGCCCCCACCCTAGCCAGCTGTCAGAGCCAGCTGTCAGGAGGAGGAGGGCGGCAGGTTCCTCACAGGAACCCCGAGGGTCCTGGTTAACTAGGATGGCGGGTGGCACAGCCCAGCCACCAGGCAGCACAGGCCTCTCCGCCCAGGAAAGGGTGGCAACTCCAGCCCAGCCCAACCCAGCCGAGGAAGCGGGAAAGGAGCTGCCCCTACATGGCACAGCTCACCATTAGCTCAGTTTTAAAAACACAGAGAACAAGGAAAGACTCAGAGAAGTCACCAGTGAATGCAACTTGTTTTATTTTTGTCTGTTTTATTTTATTTTTTTGGTACCAGGAATCAAATCCAGGGGCACTTAATCACTGAGCCACATCCCCACATCTCCAGCCCTGTTTTAAAATGTTCTTATTTTGAGACAGAGTCTCATTAAGTTGCTGAGGGCCTTGCAAAATTGCTGAGGCTGGCCTCAAAACTTGCAATCCTCTTGCCTCAGCCTCCAGAGTCACTAGGATTACAGGCAGGCACCTGGTGCTTGCAACTTGTTTTACACAAACAGGAAGTGGATCAAGGGGGTTTGCTTTAGTTAACTACGAAGTTACTAACTACTAAGTTAGCTATGCCAAGAAATAGCCAGCAGAGAGAACAAACACTGAACCCAGCAATTCAAGGACCCACACAGCTTTTACCAAATGAGATCAAATCGAGTACTCCTCTATTTTTCTGCCTAAGTAAAGCCAGATTTTCTCTAATAAATCTAGGAAAATACAGTCTGGCCATTCTGTGACTGGGTACGCCCACCGAGGAACAGGAAACAGGCTCACTAGAGGGTCACATGCAAGTAGCTAAGCAGTACCTCTGATTTACCTCCAGGAAAAAGTTAGAAATACCAGGAGTATTACTTAATATCTTACATTAATCATCTGAATGATGGAATGCCTTTTGAAACAGGAACAGAATTTATTTATTTAGGCTGGGGATGGAACCCAAGGCCTAGTGCATGCTAAGTGCAGGCTCAACCATGGAATTTAAAACCCGCGCAAATGATCTTTTACAAATAGAGGTCCTATAAGGACATATCAGAGTATTGTCTCTGAGAAATGAAATTATGGTACTTTTTAATTTTCTCAAAAACTTTTTTTCTGTTTTCCCAATAAACTGTTAATTTGGGGATCAAAAAAAATAAAACAATAAAAATGGCAAATATTAGGGTTCTTTGATCTGGTAATCCTGTTTCTGAAAGAATATCCTAAGAATATAATCTTAAACTCTGAAAAGTTTTTGCACAATTTTTAAAAATCATGGTATTATCTATAATGACTTCTCCAGCTAGGTATGGCACACACCTGTAATCCCAGCAGCTCGGGAGGCTGAGGCAGGAGAATCACGAGTTCAAAGTAAGACACTAAGCAACTCAGTGAGACCCTGCCTCTAAATACAAAATAGTGCTGGGGATATGAGTCAGTGGTTGGGTGCCATTGAGTTCAGTCCCCAAAACCCACCCCCCAAAGACTCCTTCAGCAAATACACTTAAAGCAGAGAATGAACGGGTGATGCTAGCCCTGCTCCATGACCATGTGGCTCTGACAAAGCACCTTCCAGAAAGGCACCCCTGCTCCCAGAGGCAGAAGCAACGCGGGGTCACACCCTGCATGCACCCGCACACTCGGGGAGCAGCAAGTGAGGAGGGAGAGGGCTGGAGTCACACGGGGCAAGTGGCTTCTTCCAGGTCACCTTTGTATTTGCTATTTTTAGACAAACAAAGGGTCAAAGCAGTGCAGCGCTCGCTGAAGCACTGAAGAGAAAAACCCATCTGTACTCCTGTCAGATGGGGACAGCTTACAGGTAATGGGGTTCAGGATGTCAGGGCCCAAGGAGCTCAAACATGCCCCTGACCATGGGTTCCAGCCCCGATAGAACCTTCAGGTGCCCCCAGCCCCCGGTGCACATGGGGCCCAGCAGCCTCGGCCTCACCATGTCAGGCCCCGCTGTTCCCAGGGGACGTGTCGGGTGGGACAGAGCTGAGGCCAGGCACAACACAGCACCAGGCCTTTCCCTAAGTACTTCTGACTCAAATATCCCAGTTTATAGTAGAGAAAAAACAGAAGCCACCAAGCTCTAACTAGATGGGCTGTCGCTTCCTGCTCCCGGCAGCTGCTCACAGTGGGCAGTGTTGCTCCCACCTCCTGAGTGTGAGGAGCTCCGGGCCTACCTCCCATGCCTGCTGCTGCCTGGCCTGAGGGCATGGCCAGCAGGTGACAGACCTGAGCACCCAAGTGGCAAGCGTGAGGGTGGGTGGGAAGTGTCTCAGGTGAAAAGATAACGTCACCCTGTGGGGCTTGTGAGCAGCCTGGAGCAGGGTGCCAAGCGGCTGGGCTCATCCCCTCCAGACGGTACACCTTGGCTTGGCCAAGGGTTTTTTGGGGGTGCCTTCTCAAGGACTAAGGGACCCTTTCAGGACTGAGGCAAAGCCATCTAGAAACTGGACACTAGGCCAACCAGAGGAAGGACCCAGCTGGCCACCAAGTGTGTCCAGGTGGAATGCCCAGGTGCCTGGGGGCAGGGTTAATGTAGGTGCAGTGCACAGCTTGGACAACAGGTGGCAGTGTGAATTCCTCGCATGCTGTGTTACCTGAGAGCCAGGACAGCAGCGAGTTCCGCTTGCCAAGCGGACACCCGGCCTGGGTGGAAGGAACTGGAGCAAGAGAAGAGGAGGTCAGTGACCTTGCAGGGTCAGGAGGCAGGACACAGAGCCACAGGAATAGGACAGAGAGGCAGACCCGACAGGAGCCAGTCTGCTCTGGGCAGGGGTGGGAGGGCTCTGACAGGCGGGGTGCTCTAGGCAGACCAAGGAGCCCTGTGCAGAGGCAGAGGTGGCCCAGTGTGCTGAGAGCCATTTCCCCTCCCTCCTGGTCACTCCAAGTGGGAGCTGTGTGGCCTCCAGCAGCACTGGGAAGGGCTCACAGGCCTGCTGCCCTGCTCACTGCCCCAGCTGCTCGGCCAAGCTGAGCTGCAGAGGGCAGCCTGAGGCATGTGGGTGAGCCCACCTGCTCCAGAGCCCAGCTCAGGAGCCCCCTGTCTCTCACCCCCAGGACCCTGCAGTGCCCTGGCTCATCCCGGTGGGGGGCAGAGGAAACGGGCTGAGCTGCGTGTTGGCAGTCATGGGTGCTCTGGCCCCCGCATAGGGTCCTGTATGTCTAAGGACAGTGACAGGCCAGCACAGAAGTTCTCCAGGAGCCTGCCTGTTCCAGCACCCACAGGGACTGCTCTCAGCCTGCAGGAGCCTCCATGGCAGGAGGGTGGAGGAGCAGGGTGAGATGCGGGCTTCACCTACAGCGCCAGGCACCCACCAGAGCCACTTGGCCTTCAGGCAGAAAAGTCTGAGTCACCCAGAATCAGAGAAGCTAAGGACACTAAAGAGGCTCTTCTCCAGATCCTAACTGTCTTTGAGGGGGTGCATCCCCTTTTCTCAGTCCTTAAATCCCTAAATTGCTGCCTGGGGGCAGCGGAGGGAGTGGTGCTGAGGTGTAAGATCAGCCAGCCTTGGGAGAGGGCCATGAGGATGCATCGGGAGCCCCCAGAGCTGCAGGTATTTGGCTCTGACAGGAAGTGGGAAGCAGTCAGTGGCCTTCGATGTGGGGAGCACGATGAGATTAGAGTGGACTGGCACGGTGAGCTGGCCCGGGCCCCCACTGACCATCATAGCAGGCACAGAGTGGGAGGCAGGTTGAAGTGAGGACAGGGATGGGGAGTGGGTGTCCAGAGTTCCTGTCAGTCACCAGATCAGCTTGTTGTGAGGTGGGTGCTGGTGAGCTTGGCTTTTCAGGGGCTCAGCCTCTGCCTTTTGGTCAGGGTTGGTTCTGATGGAATAAAATCCCCCAGGATCCAAACCCTCTCATCTCTTCCCCGGGCCTCCAAGGGCGCACACCACTCTATTCCCCAGACCACCTCGTCTAGGCCCCAGAAGCCTCCCCCTCCCAAGTCATCTGCACTCGGTTCCCGTGAGCAGGAGGACAACCCAGCCCCAGCCCAGTGACTCACCAGAGGGGACCCAGGACAGGGCCATGGTCCCATAGTAGGAGAAGGCGCCCGTCTCAAACTTCATGTTCTCCTTGCCTGCCTCCACCTCCACCTTCCCCTGCAAGAACATGGGTCAGGGTTACAACCAGAGGGGAATGAGGACTGGGTGGGACAGAGGACTGGGTGGGACAGAGGACAACGCGGGGGGCATGTGGAAGTCAAGGGCGGGCCGCGCATCCCCAGCATCTTGGCAGAGTGGTGTGGGCAGGCAGCCTGGGCCCAGGACGGCAGTGCTCACCTGCAGGATGAGGATAAAGTAATCGGCCGGCTTATTCCGGGTATACAGGTAGTGGCGGGCATAGTACTTGTTGTGCTCATCAAACTTGAGCTCCTGGATGACATCTGGGTACTTGAGCAACCGCAACAGAATCTTCTCTGATATCAGAGAGGGACTGAACTGGGGCACCTCTGTGGGAGAAGAGAGGAGACTTCACACGAGGCTTGGGGCTGGGCCACTGCTGCACTGCAGCGGCTACTTGGCCTGGGATGGCTCCACCCTGCTGAGCTCTTCCTTCAGGCCACACCTCCCAGGAAGGGTGTGCACCTGACTTCCCTGCTGAGACCCCAGACTGTCAGCCTGCCAGGCCTCCAAGTGTGGCTTCTGTACTAAGAGCCTGTGACTTTGGGCAAATGACTTAACCTGAGTCTCAGGTTCCTCATCTGTAAAATGGGGATAAAAACTTCACAGGGTGCTGCAGGTTAGTGGTCTAACACGCACAGACCACTCTCACATAATCCTGGCCTGTGGCCAGTGCTTAGGAAGAGCTCCTATGAAAACAAAGGAGAAGGACTCATGGCACCCTTAGCAAGTGAGGGCTAGGAAGGAAGGTGGACTGGGGGAGAGGGGATGCAGTAGGCAGGTTTTTTCTAAACTGTCACCTGGGTCCCCAAGGGAGCTTTGAATCAGGGGTCAGAAGAGAGAAATGTCACTGATCTAGAGATAATTCCTGTGGGAACCAGTACACACAGAGGCGAGGGCAGGGAAGAGGGCAAGAGAGCTAGAGCAGGCTTCTCAGTGCAGATAAGCAGGGCCAGGGGTGTGGGCTGCACCCAGAGGAGCCACTGCCAGTGCAAGGGTCCCTTTTCCTTACCTCTCCACAAGCCTCAGTGGGCTGGGGGCACCCAGGTGAGCGCCTAAGGAGTTCCTCTCTCACCACTTATTTTCAAAACTCCCCCAGGCCTTCTGTAGAAGTTTGCAGTAGCAGCCCAGGGACAGCAAGCAGACTGCAGGAGAGTCCCAGGGATGGCCCTCCCAAAGCAGCTGTGTTGACCCTGCACCCACCACAGCCCCCTTCCAGTAACTAACTCCACCAACAAAGGAAGGGCCTCCTGCTCCTACCTGTGGCCAGGAAGCGATGGGCAGCCAGAAGCAGCTGAGGAGAGATCTTGACTTTGAGTTCATTGTCAGCATCCTTGAAGGCGGAGAAATCACGCTTGTTCTTTGCAGACACCCGTTTCCGGCTTCGGTTGTCAGCTGCAAGGGAAAGATCTAGAACTGAAGTTGCTATCCCTTGAGGACCTGGAAAAGACTGGAGCCAGACCCCAGCTCCCGCTCCCTCTGGCCAGAAGGAGCCAAGGTGGCCTCCTCCGTGTGCTCAGCAGGCGCCCCCAGCTCACCCCACCAGCAGGGAGCCTGGTGACCGGGGCCACCCTGTACCCGCACTCCGCCTTCCCCAGGGGCATGATTCCAGACTCAAGCAGTGAAGGGCCTCTGGGCCTGTGGAGAGTGCTGGACTCACTGTACGTGTCCGACTCGTCCAGGATCTCGGACTTGATGATCTCCTCGATGACATCCTCCAGGGTGACCAGGCCCAGCACCTCATAGAAGGGGTCGCCCTCACCCTCGTTGTTCACCTTCTGCACGATGGCCAGGTGGGACTTCCCTGTGGGGACAATGCACTGAGTCAGACCAGCACAGGGACCAGGCATGAGACTTCCCCAACAAAAATGTCAACACTCAGGGCCGTGAGTCACTGGGGAGGCGTCATCGGTGGCCCCCTCCTTTTCTGTATTTCCTGATTTTTCTGTTGCAGACACTCTGCTTTCATGAAAAGGGAGCCCCAAAGTGTCCTAAAGGCCTTGCACTAAGGATCATGTGTTGACAGGGGCTGAAAGTGACAAGGCTGCTTGGGGCCGTTTCCCAGAGCTCCTGGGTCTCCAGAGGGGACAGACCCACACTGGGAGAGCACAGGGAGACAGTGGAGGCATGTGTGCCAGCTGCACAGATGGTCTGATGCTGCCCACGCCCCAGGGCCTTGGAGGCCCACTGCTGTTCGCCCTGCATGGACACAGGGTGTTAAACTGTCCCACACCAAGACGCTCCTCTGGCTCCTCAGCAGGTGAGCCAGCAGGAGCCCGAGGCCTTCCCTTCCACCAGCAGCAAGGGAGCTGGGAGGAAGGTGGGGTAGCTCTGTGGAGGCTCTGGAGGTGTCAGGGATTCCTGGGCTCTTCTGGAGCATCTGTCCTGCTCTGGGTCCCCAGACCCAGCAAGTGACGATAGGGGAACACCAAGAAGGGCTTGGCCCAACTCTAGACATGGAAGTGTTTTGATAGCCTCCAGGGAAAGCCCTAGGGACCTGTGAACTCGGGTCCCTGCATGCCGCAGGGGAATGCTCCTTCTGGAAGTTGTCCCCACACATGACCATCACTAAGATATGCACGGAGGTTTCAGTACCATGCTGGACAGAACCATCAGGACTGGACGCATCATGAAGTCCCTGGTGTCTTTCCAGAGATAAGCCAACAAGCACAAGAGTGCAGGGCCATACTCTGGCATCCGTCACCTGGGTCTTTGCACCTGCTGGAGGCAGGACACTGGAGTGTCCCCTAGGGAGGGCGCCTGGGCAGCCAGATGAACTACGTCTCCAGATGGAAACGAATTAAAGAAGATAGCTTTAGCACCTTCTAGGATGGCAGTCCCCAAAAAGCTTATTAGTCATGCCAGTGATGGGGGCGGGGTACAACAGGCCCTCACCCACTCCAGCTAGGGGACAGGAGTGCACAGAGGCTAACAGGGCAGCACGCCTCAAAATTAAGGGTCTCTCCCTTGGATTTTGGAATTCCCCTTTTAGGAATTTGTCCCACAGAGATATGACTATCACAAAAGCACAAGGACACCAAAGGGGGCTCATGGCAACCCCTCTCCAAAACCAAAACCTCCTAAATCGAAAGCCACGTGGCCCATCCTGGCAGGGGCCCTGCTTTAGGGAATGTGGGGGAGCTGGATGGAAGAAATCCTGGGGTGCCCCCAGAGGACAAGTCTCGGGACACAGCGCCATCCAGCTGCACAGGAACAAAGGAGCTAGAGGGCTTAAGCGGGACCAGAGACACCTGGAGGCAGTGACAGGGTGCCCTCTGGAGGACCTCTGTGGGTAGAGCCCTATTACCCCTTTCTCTGTACCTTTCTATACCATTCTATCTGACAGGCCCATGCCTCACTTTTTTTTTTTCTTTTGGTGGTATCAAGGACTTAACCCAGAGGGACTTTACCACTGGGCCACATCCCCAGTCCTTTTAATTTTTTCTATTTTGAGTCAGGGTCTCCCTAAATTGTTTAGGGCCTCACTAAGTTGGCCAGGCAGGCTTTGAACTCGAAATCCTCCTGCCTCAGCCGCCACAGCTGCTGGGATTACAGGGGTGCGCCACCACGCCCAGCAACATGCTTCACTTTTATCATTGAAAAAAATCCAACCAGAGCGGGGCACAGCTCAATGGAGAGCACGTGCTAGCAATCTAGTGGCCCTGGGCTCATCCCCAGCACCACACACACACACACACACACACACACAGAGACCAAAAAAAACTTAAGGGACAAAGAGAAAGTGCTGCCATCTTTAGGGTGGATAAGGACCCTCTGGGCCTCCGGCTGCCACAGTGTTGGCCCCTTGGGAATGGGGTACGGCTTTCTGACAACGATCAGGGGACAGCACTTTGCACTCAGGAATAGCAGGAACAGGCTCTTCCTCCCTGAAACACAGAGTTGCCCTCCAGGCACCAAGTCTCACCAACACACAGTCACTTGCACCGAGCCCCAGGGGAAGGCCGGCAGCTTCCCTAAAGGACATAAATGCCCACTGGGGTGGAAGGAGCTAACTCCAGGCACAGCCAGCCGCACCAGCCCTCTTGCCTTCTCTGGGCCCTTCCTGGGTTTTGGATCTGCCGCTATGCGCAGGCCCCTGCTGGTGGCCACCACACGTGTAACAGGTACCTCCTAAGTATGCACCCTGGGCACCAGGCACAGTTTGGCCCTGCTCTGTGCTCGGCGCTTCCGGCACTGGTGCTACTGGTAGCTGGTCAGCTGGGCCCCTCGCAAGGGTTCCTGGCTAAGAGGCCAGTTTGTCAGTCTCTCCTGGGCCAGCCGGAGGCCCCCGGCTGGTTGTCTTTTCTAATTTGTCTACCCAGAGGGGACATCTTTTTGTCCTGGAAGAACCTTCCTCTTCCTTGGCCAGAGAACCTCCTGTCAAGGTCACCGATCACCTCCAATGGCTCTGTCTCCTTCTCAGGTGACCTCCCACCTCCTATAAACCTCCCCACCCACTTGGCAACCAGGACACATGGCTCCTGAGCGGCTCCTTCTCCCTGATCCCTTACTGCCGAAGGGTCCTGGGGCTCAGACCTCGCACCTTGTTCTTGCCTCATGATTTAAATACAAGCTTATGTCAAGACACCCCATAAGTCTGCACAGGCCTGCGCCTCCTGTGTCCCCAGACTCCTCATTGCAACTGGGGGCTGAGCCTCGAACCTAACATCACCAGGAGAAAGCTCAGGGACACCCAGGCCCCGACCCCTAAGTTCTTCAGCCAGTGAAGGACGACAAAGGGGTGCAGACTGGAGACAGAAACACTCTGGATTTCAGCAATTTAGAAGTGTCTCTGCTTCAGAAACCACTGCTGACTTAGCAGTTAAACTACAGGGCGGCAAGGGGCGCAGTGCAGAGCGCTCACGGGCATGTCCAGCCCTGGCACCGCCCCCTCCCCATGGTTGGTTGGTTTTTTTAAGTAAATCAACTTAGACCTTGAATTTATGATTGTCATTTATAGACTCTTACACAAAATTTTATTTCATTGAGCTCCCTCATTTTACTAGGCTGTCCATTCCACTGGATTACGGGATTTTGGGGGTGGCTGGGGTGACCAATGGAGCATGGAAATCTAAATAACACTTCTGGAGCCAAAAATTCCACTTTTTTTTTTTTTTCAAAGTAGTCCTTATTCAAGGAAGAAACTAAGGAAATATAGCAAAAATCATAGTTATCTGGCTGAACCATATGAAATTGTTGACTTTTGGGGGGCATGGGGGGTTCTGGGGATTGACCTCAGGGGCCCTTAACCACTGAGCCACATCCCCAGCCCTATCTTGTGTTTTATTTAGAGACAGGGCCTCACTGAGTTGCTTAGTACCTCACTTTTGCTAAGGCTGGCCTTGAACTCATGATCCTCCTGAGCCACTGGGATTACAGGTATGCACCACCACACTGGGCAATTGTTGACATTTTGATTTTTTTTTTTTTTTTTTTACCAAAAACAGTGATTTCCCATGGCATAATCTAACCATCTGAGGAACCAAGGATGGCTATTTTCTTTTTTTATATTTTCCTATATAGAAATTCCAAACTTTCCATAATCAAGTACACGAATTTTGTAATCAGAAAGAAACCTACATTACAAGCAACTTTCAAAACCACTCTAATGCTGCTTCCCTGGGCCTTCGGCTTCCTGCCCTTCCTACATGCAAAACTGCTCCAGAGGGGAGCCTGGGTGAGCGGGACCCCAGAAGAGGCACCTGGAGCCCTGGCTGCCCAGCGTCGCCTCCAGGCCTCGCCTGGCATACTCGCCCACTCCACCCTCTGCTGTCCTTTGTCCTTTGCCAAGTAGGACTGTTCCCTCCCTAGTCCAAGAGCTACAGGTGAAGCCTCCAGAAACCTGCCGCCAGCAGCCTCTTCCCACAGGGTCAGGTCACGAATCAGGGCAAGGAGTGACTGGCTGCCCTGAGTCCCCAGCAGCCCCTCCTGCTCCTGCCTTCCCATGTCACCTCTTCATCCTCCTGCCTGGGCGCACACATTGCCCTGAGTGCCCCTGCCAGCCCTCACTGCCCGCCCTGACCCCATGGCTTCCTCACAGAGCACTTGTGCCTCAGGCTAACGGGGGTCCAGGTGCTCCCCACCCTCGCTGGAGACAGAAAGGAAGGCTCCGGGCCCAGAAAGCCCAGCCCCCCACCCTGTGTGATGCTTATTTTAGCCAACTCCATGTCCTCCTCCCTCCCATAAAATGTTTTTTACAGTTCCTCAAAGACCATGTGCTGGGTTTCAAAGTCCACAAGGGCCCCACAGGGGTTTCCACTCACCAGCTCCAGCTGCCTTTCCCATGGGGAACAACAGGGTCCAGATAGGACAAGGGTCCTAGCACCTGAGAGGGTGTCCTCCGTGGCTTCCTTGCTGGGTCTCCCAGCAAGTTCCAGTCCCAGGTTCCCAGGACAGGCCCTGGGCTCCCAGGTCCCCCCATGGGAGGGCCATGGTCGGCATCTACAGATGGCGGGGCACTCTGGTTTCCTGGCCTTCACCCAGACCTGGCAGGATTAAGCTGGCTATTATTAGTGCTGACCTCAACCTGCAGGGGGGCAGCAGCCCATCCCAGCAAGAACCAGGGTAGGAAAGGAGCCAGCCCGAGTGAGACAAGCCCCCTGGCTTCCGGCCTTGGGTAGGTTCACCCAAACGCCTGGCAGAGCTCGTCCCTCTGGCTCCCTCTCTCCCAGGGAGGCAGCTGCTGGTCAGGACAGTCAGACGAGGCCAAGGCCTGGAGCCCGGGAGGCTGCAGCAGCCTGGCAGGCAAGCAATACCCACGAGCTCCAGAGAAGAAGAGGCGCAAAGGCACGGCAGGCGGCCCAG